CGTGCTCACCTGTGCTCACCTGCACTCATTCACCTTCTCTCACCCATTTATTGCACAGTGTTTATGGGACCCCTCCCTCCAGAGCACACTGTGATTTGGGGGACAGACCGTTCACAGGTCATAACACAGCAGTGTGAAGGGGAGAGGTGGGGTGAGAACGGAGGGGCAGCAGGGACCCTGCCTCAGGTGAGTCCTTGAGAGGCTTGAGCCCAAGTTCTAGACCCCCACTGGGTCAGAGAGCAGGGGCTCACACCTCTGCTTGGGCACCACGACTTTGGGTCTCCAGGGCCGGGAAGTCCTCTGTCCCTGGGGCAGGGGTGTCCCCCACCCCTGGGACACGTATGTCCCGGTTGCCCTCCAGGAAGCTGTGAGGATTACACCAGCCCAGCCCGGTGGGGGTGGCCCGACGCTGGGACCAGAGCAGATGGGGCCAGATCACCCCGTCTGCACTGAGAAGCCCCTGCAGGCCTCGCCGGCCCCTCTGTCCGCTCCCCTCGGCATCACTGCTCAGAGTTTAGAAATCCCAACCCCAGGACAAGTGCCCGGTGGGAGGACTCGACCCCCCCGCCCCTCCCCGCTGACTGGGCTCGTGGGAACTGAGGAAGGTTGCCCTGGAGGGTTAGAGCGGAAATCAGAGCTCTAGGAGCGGGGGTGGGTCGGCGGGGGGCTGGAGGATGCTGGGCCTCGTAGGAGAGAAAGCAGTGCCGTCTCCCCAGGCCAGGCCAGCCCAGCCCAGCCTGGCACGGAGAGCAGCCAGGCCTGGGGCGGCTCTGAGGACACACAGGGCTGTACACAGCCCCTCACACACACTGGTCAGCTCTCAGCCTCAGCCGCCTTCAGCCCCGGGGTCAGGCCGAGGTCCACTGCTGATCTGAGAGCAGAACCTGGGGTTTTCAGGGACCCTAAAGCCTGTCCCAAGACCATTGGCGGCTGACGCTGCCCCGCCTGGCTGCCCGCCCCGAGCCCGCTGGCAGCGCCTTCACAAGGAAGGGGTCCCCAGGGACTCTTCCCAAACTGGCAAGACGTCTCAGGCCGTGGCGCCACCTGAGGAACCTGACCCTCTGCCAGTGGCTGTGCTCCCACTTCCCTGGGGTGCCTAGCAACATCTGGCAAGGCGCTTCCAGCAGGGCTGAGCACATTGGGGGCCGGGGTCTCCGACACCCACGCAGCCCTTGCAGGCTGAGCCCCAGTAGCTCCAGCTGGGCCCACACTGGGGGCTGCAAGCCTGCTGCTGGGACCCTCCGTGTTTCTCGCGTGACCTCAGATCACGCCGGCCTGCTCATTACAGAACGTCGGCCCCTTGCACACCTGTGTTCGCGGCAGTGCTACCGTCACCAAGAGGTGAAGGCAGCTCAGTGTCCGTCCGTGGATGAGTGCGTTCACAAAGTGTGGTCCGTCCACATAGTAGAACATTACTCAGCCTTAAGAAGGAAGGAGATCCTGACACAGGCTACAACAGGATGGCCCCTGGGGACACTACACTCAGTGAAATAAGCCAGACACAGAAGGACAAATCCTGCCTGATTCCACTCCCAGGAGGTCCCTAGAGGAGTCCCATCCATAGAGACAGGAAGTAGACGGTGGGGCCCGGGGCTGGGGGAGGGGAGTGAGTGTTTCCCGGGGACAGAGCGTCCGTTTGGGAGGATGGACAAGTTCTGGAGGTGGATGGGGGTGATGGTTGCACAGCAATGAGAACGTGCTTAGCGCCGCTGACGTCTCACTTACGAGTGGTTAAGGTGGTAAGTTTTATGTTGTGTGTATTTTGCCACAATTCAAAAAAGAATTTTTTTTAATAAATCACACACACACCCCCCCCCAAGCAGCATAACCTATAGAAAGCGGGGAATTCCCTGGCGGCCCAGTGGTTAGGACTCTGTGCTTTCACTGCAGTAGCCAGATTCAGTCCCTGGTCCAGGAACTAATATCCCGCAAGGGAAGGAGGGAGGGAGGGAAGGAAGGAACTGTGTCCCGGCGCCCTGCTCCTGGCACAGACCTTGCCCCGTTCACACCGAAGGACTTGACCGTGTGGCTCTAGACCGGGAGGACTGAAGCCTTCCTGGGGGCTGCAGTGGACACAGGTCCAGCTGACGGCGGGTGGAACCATTCTTTCCTTTTCTCCTGCAGCAAACATTTATCAAGTCCCACTGCGTGGAGGATACCTTTGTCTGCCAGAAACCTGCTGACCAACCCAGGGCCGCACAGGGAGGGGCCCAGGCGGGCACTCCAGAAGGAGAGGACCTGCCCCGGGGATTAGTGGGGTGTTGCTTCCCTGAAGGAGAATTTGAGAACAGCCCCGACAAAGGCAGCTGCCTGCCCTCTGGGACTAATCCAGGATCTCTCAGCCCAGGGGCGGAAGTTCCCGTCTGGGGAGCCTGAGTCAGGCAGCCTCCCATGGGGTTCGCGGGCCAGGGAGCCATGCACTTGGCTCGGTGGCAGTGAAAGGCGAGTCAATTCACCGGAAAGGAAGAGACCCATTAGGGTCCCCTCCTCCCAGGTAAATCAAAGGCCCCAGGCAGGGGAGGAAGGAGGGAAACGCGGCTCAGAACGCAGCCAAGCACCAGGCCGCCTGCGGGTCAACCAGACGTCTCTGCAGCCACTGCTCCCGCCCTGTAAGGGGGTGCTGGTGGCAGGGGGGGAGAAACAATGGGGTTGGGGGCCTCTAGGTGCCCCACTCTTAAAGATCCCTCCTGGCAAACCAGGCTCTCTGGGCAGCAGCTCCCGCGTCAAGCGAGGAGGCCAGGCTTCCCAGACAGTAGGGGTTCTCCTTACACACCAGCCCTGGGCGCGGGGCTACCCAACGCAGGGTGTTCATCAGGGTTCCAAGGCCACTTCCAGGCCTGTGTGGGCAGGAGGGAGCCCTATCAGTTAGCGATGCCGGCCCAGGCGCCAGAGGACAGGGTGGCAGCCACCTGCAAGCTGGGGACGCAGCCTCCTCCAGCTGCCTGAGGCCCCACTTCTGAGGGCCTCGGAGACCCTGTGCCCGGCCCGCTGCCCCATGGGGACACCTTCTTCTAGTCCCATAGCACACGTCTGCCGCTGGGGCTCGAGGGCCAGGAGATGGGCACGGCCTGCCCTCCCAGACCTCACGGCAAACAGGTGGTGACCAGAGCGGTCAGCACAGAGTCTCAGACTGCAGCCTCCCAGTGCCGGTGGGACGCTGGGCTCAGGGTAGTGGTCCTGCAGTCCCCAAGCACTTCCACCAGCCGCCTGGCTGGCCCACCCGGAGTGGGTGTCTGTGAATGGGGGATCGGCCCCCCGCGGCTTTGCTCCATCTTTGCCTTCAAGGCACCCGTGGGGCAGGAGCGTGGCCATCCGTTCCCCCGCCAGGCAACATGCCTGCCCTCCCAGGGCCTCAGAGGGCAGGAGCTCTCCGGCCCCCCATCACCCTCAAGGACGCAGCATTGGCAGGACAGCCGGAGGCAGGGAGACCGGAGGTTGCAAGATTGGGGTGTGCGGTTTGCAAGAGGGCTGAGGGAAGGGTTTGTATGCCCAGCCGGCTGTGCCTGTGCCCCACTGGGAGCACTGCGGGTCACGGCAGGTCCAAAAGCTGCGTGCCCTCTGAGGTCAGGTCACCTCCTCAGGGTCCCAGGGGAGGGGGGGGTGCAAGCAGGCCTGCCGAGGCCGGGAGGTCCTCTCAGAGGAATGGCTCCTCCTGTCTGCACCCTCCCCGCCTTGCGGTCTTGCAGGAGGGCTCCACAGGTCAGCCGACGGGGTGACGTGGCACTGTGACCCTTCCTCCTGGTGCCCGGCCCTTCCCAGCAAGCCATGAGGCTGAGAAGCCCCTGGAACATGGTGGGCTTGGCCCTGCCCGGCCTGTCTCCGGGAGGGAAGGAGACATGCAGGGACAGATCAAGGTCAGGACAAGGCACATTGTCCCCAGTGGCCCTGAACACGTTCCTGCCCAAGTATCAAGGATGGAGGGTGGACATGGACGGACAATGGCCATGCCCGTGGCCGAACACCCCGGTGGGCAGCGGGCAGCTCATGGTGGACAGAAATGTGGTAGCTCCCTGGCTCTGATAAGTGTCTGTGCTTTTCTGAAAACGGCACCATCATAAAGGGAAACTCGGAAACCTCCAGGACGTGCTCCCTGAGGGTCAGCGTGGGCCACGAGGCCACCATCCCCCAAGTCTCCACACTCGGCCATGCCAGGCGCAGGCCGGCGGGAGAGGCCTCATGGCCCTTCTTGGGGAGGAACGTGGCTGAGAGCTCGACCACCAGCCCCCCTGCACGCGAGCCCCTGGGCTTGGAATCCCACGTGGATGCTGGGCGTGTGGGGGTGATTCCCAGGCATCTGATCCTCATCCTGCTCGTGCGCAACCCACGCAGCTGCCACCCGGCGACTGTGCTACGACCACCAGCTGGTGTCCCGAGCAGGCACTGCACAGCCTGGCAGGAGCAGGGTGGCCAGGGCCCAGGTTCAAAACTGACTCAGAATCCGAGACGGAGATGCAGCGGCTGCCCCTGAGAGCCCGGCCGCTCTGCCTCCCAGCACATGACCCCAGTGACTCCCAAGGACTCACTTCCTCTCGGGGCTCCCCAGCCCAGGGTCGGCCCCTCCTCTCTGTGAATCACCGCACAGCCGCTACCCCCTTCTGCTTCGCAAGGCCTCTGAGCCAGGAGGTGTCAGCCGGTTTGGAGGGAAAGTGTCAGAACGACGGGGTCTGTCCCGCCCTCCTCAGCAGTGGGGCGGAGGCCACACGGATGCTTCTTGTCTGCACACAGGGCTGGCCCACCTGCCTTATTTAGCTTTGAGATTTATGGGGTTTTAACTAAGCCCTATCTAATGACGCAGTCACTGGTCAGCACCCAGAGTGGGAGACAGAGAGAGTGAGAGAGACACAGAAAGAGAGAGGGAGAGAGAGGCAGAGACACAGAGCTGCTGAGAGGGAGAGAGCTCGAGGCTGCCTTGCTAGGTGGGGGGCTGGGCGGGTAGGGAGGGGACAGTGGGAGGCCGTGGGAGGCGGACTGGATGAAGGCCTTCTGGCCGCTCTCTGGTCTCAGCTCTCAGCAGGCTCCTGGGCCATGAGGTCGGAGTCAGAGGCTGGCTGCAGTGTCCCAGTCGGCCTAGGGGAAAGACGGGTATCGTAATGGCAATGGCAGGCAGGCCCGTGGACCAGCCCACCCAGAATCTCTCCTCCTTCCCTCTCTTCCAAGCACCTGGGCTGGCCGGTCAAGCCTGTAAAGGCTCCTCCCCCAGAGGGTTCAGGTGAGGGTCTGACCAGGAGGGGTCTGGTCAAGGGGAATGCGTCTAGGTGCGTCTGAGGGTCTGGGCCCATCCCTACTTTCTCCTCAAGAAGACCCTGGAGAATCCCAAAGCAACTGACAGCAGGCTCCCAAGCACTCATGCACCATGTTCACAGCAGCCCAGAGACAGAGGTAAACCAAGTGCCCGTCGAAGGGTGAGTGGATAGATACACAAAATGTGCTCTATCCATAAATGGATATCAGCCTTAAAAAGGAAGGATATCCTGCCACAGGTTACATCCTGGGTGAACCTTGAGGACATGATGCTTGGTGAAATAAGCCAGACACAGAAGGACAAATCCTGTCTGATTCCACCCACATGAGGTCCCTGGAGGAGTCACATCCATAGAGACAGGAAGTAGACGGTGGGCCCAGGGCTGGGGGTGGTTGAGTGTTTCATGGGAACAGGGTTTCGATTTGGGAGGATGAAAAACTTCTGGAGGTGGATGGGGGTGAAGGTTGCACAACAATGCGAATGTGCCTCATGCCCCTGAGCTGTGCACTTAGACGTGGCAAGATGGTAAATTCTATATTATATGTTTCTTATCACAAATAAAATTTTTTTTAATTTTAATGGAGAGGGCTTCCCTGGTGGCGCAGTGGTTAAGAATCCGCCTGCCAATGCAGGGGACACGAGTTCGAGCCCTGGTCCGGGAAGATCCCACATGCCGCGGAGCAACGAAGCCGTGCGCCACAACTACTGAGCCTGCGCTCTAGAGCCCGCGTGCCACAACTACTGAGGCCCACGTACCTACAGCCCGTGCTCCGCAACAAGAGAAGCCACCGCAATGAGAAGCCTGCGCACCGCAACAAAGAGCAGCCCCCGCTCACCGCAACTGGAGAAAGTCCGCGTGCAGCAACGAAGGCCCAATGCAGCCATAAATAAATAATTTTTTAAAAAATTTTTTATGCAGAGGAAAAGTGTTAAAGTAATAATGGAATGTTTTTCCCACAGTGGAAAACAAAAGGCCTCAGAAGGAAGGGACGCAAATGCAGCCCAACAAGAGAGAAACGGAAAACAGTCCCTGGACACGACACAGTGAAACGTCAGGACAAAACGAACTCCTGCAGGAGGGCTGCTGGCGGAGATGGACCATTCCAGGTGCTGGCCCAGCGCCGAGGTGGTGGAGCCCCCGTCCCGGCTGAGAGGATATGCCCATCGCCAGGACCACTCGGGAAACCGTTTGCCTGACGTAGGACAAAGCGGTTCCAAGAGAGATGGTGGCTGCACCGCCCGAAACACTGCGCCAATGATTACTGCAACTTCATTAACAGTAGCCAGACACTGGGTACGGCTGCGACCCTTGACTGCCAGGACAGGGCACCGGGCACAAGTGGCTTTTGATCAACAGAAGTTCATTCACTCCGTCCTGGGGGCGGGGAGTCCCAGATTAAGGGGCCTGCGGGGCTGGCCCCTGCCCCGAGGCTCTGCGGGGTTCTGTCGTGCGCTCCCCCTCAGCTCTGGGGTGTTTGCTCCAGTCTTTGGTGTGCTTGGAGTCTGGAAGCATCACCCTGATCTCTGCCCTCATCTTCACGTGACATCCATCCTCCCTGGTGTGTGTCTGTCTACAAACCTCCCCTTCTAATAAATACCAACCATACCGGATTAGGGTCCAGCCAAATGACCTCATTTTAACTCAATCACCTCCAGAAAGACCCTATTTCCAAACAAGTCACATTCCAAGGTACTTGGTGTTCGGACGCTGACATATGAATTTGGGGGGCATACAGTTCACCCCATGGCACTGGGAGTAACCAGATGTCCACCAATAGTAGGGTGAATAAATAATTGTGGTAAAGCTGCAACACAGTACCACTCAGTAATTAAAAGGATGAATTTCTGCTACTCACAACACGCATAAACCTCACGGACAAAGGGTACCTACTTACAATTCTGTGGGTGTGAATCATAAGAACAGGGGAGATGGTGAGAGAAACCAGAAGGACCCTGCAGGGCACCCGAGGGGCTCTGGGTCCTGGGTCGGGGGACGGCAAATTCCTCAGGCCTCTTGTTACCAAGCCTCCATCACACCTCAACTACCAGGGTGCGGGGGGTAGAAGACGGTAGGATTCTGAAAGAGATGCGGTCGACCTTGAACTTCTCCACGCACACTGGTTATGGGACCAAGGAGTGATATGTTTAAATGCTGAAAGAAAAGAACTCTGAACTTTATTTAATATTTGAGCCAACTGTTGCTCCACCTCGAGGGCATTAAAGGACCCTCAGGTTCGGGGGTCCTGGGAGAGCTCGCCGCAGACGTGTGGGTGCTGAGAGACAGCGTGAGGGGTGGGGGTTGTGACACCCCGGAAGCGCTCACCACCATCCTGGACACTGCAGCCAAATGCAAGGAAGAGCTAGACTTACGTGAGCTTCAGTCGGAACTCCAGACACTTGAGCTTCGTGGCCCGCGGGCCGCTTGGGGCACCTCCACCCGTGGCCGGGCTGTGCTGCCCTAGGGGCCCTCACCCATCACCACCCCCGGACACCCGACGGGCTCTGGGCAGTGGCTGGAGATGCCCCCGGCACAGCCACCCGGGGGTAGCGACAGAGGAGACAGCCGTCTCCCACCCAACCCAGCGCCGGCCCTCAGGTTCAAAGGTGCAATCGGCACTGGCCCTCCCGGCGAGCCTCTGTCGGGCCTATCTGTAAAATATGGTACCACCTCACTGCCAGAAGGACGGGCAGAAGACTCCCCGCCCCTGGGTAAACTTCCGTGGCCTGGCACGTGGCCCATCTCTGACCAACAGGCCAAAGGTCCCTGAAATGCCTGCGGTTTAGCCAAGAGCTGTTGTTCGGGGGCTGGGCTTGTGTGAGCCCTGATTTCACAGATGGGAGGCCGCTGTGAACACTGGTGTCCTTACAGGATGCCTCCCCCGAGACCCCCGTCCAGGCGTCGTTCGCAGGAAGTGTCCTGAAAGCTGACACTAAGTAGCGAGCACCCGGGGCCCACTTTGTGGAGTTCGCCCTGCAAGTTCTCCGTGTGGGGCCCCATCCTCAAGCAGAAGCGGTAGAGGGCAGCCCAGGCAGTGCTGGGGGGCGGGCGTCAACGAGGCTCCCTGGGGTGGGGTCTGGCCGGGAACTGGAGCCACGGCCTGCCCTGCAGCTTGGCCCAGAGCTGCTGTCCCCCGAGCAGGAAGTGGGAACATGACCAGCTCGCTCACTGCCCTGGAGATGGTGAGTCACAGGGAACGGCCACTTCCTGGTCCTCGGGGCAGCCCAGGGACAGCCGAGAAGAGAGGACACCGCTGGCCCCATGCCACCAGTGGGGGGCAGGCCTCCGACGCCAGGTGGCGATGTCCCCAATCTCTCTGGGGCCTTGTTAACAGGCCCGCTGACGCCGAGGACGTTGGGGATGGAAAATGGCCAGCTACCCCCCCACCCCATAGCACAGGAGGAGGTGGCCTGGCTGCAAGGCCTGGGTACCCATTTCTCAGCCACGTGGTGCAAGGATGGCCGCGGGTCCCAGCTCTGCGGCGGGCGGG